CGAGCCACCTCCATGTCCAAACCGATGCGTCGCTCAGCGACCCCATTCTGCTGCGGGGAGTCCGGCACGGTGAACGTCTGGGTGATGCCCTCCGCACGACAGAAGCGACCAAGGCAGCCAGAGGCAAACTCGCCACCACGATCGGAGTGAAGATGCAAGACACGGAGACCTTGGTGAACACGCGCAGAGACAAGCCACGGGAGAAGAACGTCAGGCACGTTGGCCTTCCGCTCCAGGAGAAAGACGGTGGTGTAGCGGGTGTAGTCGTCGACAAGCACTAGGAAGTAGCGCTCGCGACGCGGCCCATGGACGGGGGCGGGGCCCCAGACGTCCATGTGCAGGGTCTACAGCGGTGCGGAGGTAGGGGGGAACGAGGAGGAGTGAGGGGCACGGCGGAGCCGGCCCTCGATACAGGGCGTGCATAGAGGCACGGTTGAGGAGGGGAGTGCAGGGAATGACTCAAGGAGGCCTAGGACAAGACAGTGCTGGGACATTTGATGGAGACGGGTGAGGGCGTGGTGACTTAGACGATGGTGCCACAGAAGTGACGGGTGAGTAAGCGATCGACACCAGCACGCCGCAGCAACCTGGGAAGACGCAGGTACCTGGGGAGGCGTCCCAACTGGGGGGGAAAGCGGTGTCCAGCGTGAACAGGCCAGACACCTGGTCTCGGGGGCACCAGTGGTGGCCTCAATACAGACAGCGTACCGCTTGTGCCTAGGGAACGTAGTGGTGACGCCAAGGTCTTGGAGGCAGCCGACACCAACTAGGTTCCTAGAGAACGAGGGGATGTGCAGGCCTGTAAGGGAGCCTGAGGGAACCACCGGACACGGGAGAGTAGTGGAGTTACGTGCAACTACAGGACCAGAGGAAGGGTCTGCAAGAGCAACCGCAGCAGGAGCGGCAAGCGGCGTAAGCGTCGTGGAGTCGCGAAAGAAACACCGGGAAGCGCAGGAGTCAAGGGTGAAGGAGAGCGCGGCAGCGGCGACAGAGGTCGGAGGAGCGAGGGAGGACCCTAGGCTAAACAAGGCAGAGCATCCTACGCCTGACACAGCAGGGGAGCCTGAACTAGGCACACTAGGCACACCTACACTAGGCAACAGAGGGTAATACAGTAGCGGAAACAATTGTTCGTATGTTTCGTATAAATTTGGGTTTATAGGCTTTAAGACTTGATGTTTAATGGTGGTACGATTTGGGAGGGGCACATATTAGATGTGTTCATAGCACAAATATCCAGAATAGTACATTGGATCTAACTCATATCCCAAAAAATATACAATGGGTACATCCGGACAAATATTTCCAAGCCTAGAGAGCAAACTTCAGAATTGCGTATTTGGTACATAGCCCACCGACCTTTGGCCTTGATCACCACCCGCACCCTCCTAGGCATATTACCTACGAGGTTAGTACAAACCTCGGCAGGGAAGTTCTTACACTCTTCCTGGACCCACCATTTAGCACAAGGGGGTGAGCACTAGGAAAATCGCGAAAAAGATGGGCGTAGGCTAGAGTATTGTAGACGAATTTGGATTGAATGGTATCTTTGAGACTAGCCATGCTGAGGTGTGGCCAAAGATGCAATTAGCCAGTCGGGCCCATCTTATCATGGATCGTCTTCATCGTACCATTGTAGGGTAAAATCACAAATAGAGCGGCCAAATCTTGCGTAGACGCCACGAAACTAAGGGTAAAGCTGAACGGTTGAGTGTGCACCCTTGCACCATTAAAGACACACTGGGGTCTGCGGGTCTAGTCACGGTGCACCAGTCATAGAAGCCAAGACTGTTCTGGAAAATAATCAGGGGCCGGCTGCAATTCGTGGAGTCCCATGCTGAGTGGACAATTAGTGTTCGAAAGCATGTGATCTGGTCAAATGGGACAAACATCAACTGCTTCAGCTCCAATGGCCACGCATTTGCCTGGATTCGTGAATGCACAACTCTACAATACCACCAAATCAAACAGACGGTAAACCGTGGGGACAAGGATCGGTGATGGTGCAGGGATGTGTGATATGTGCGAGGGTGGGGTTCATATGCAATATTGACGGACGCATGGATAGGCCCCTGTATGAGGGCATTTCACATATCGAACTCCAGTTCAACCTCCATTTATATAGCATTTTCCCCTCTAAGGCCATCTTGGTGCGGACAATGATCCCAATAATTTGTTATGCCTAGTGCATGAATGACTTGGAGAACATGAGTATGGAGCCCTGGAGTGGCCTTCTTTCTCACCAAGCCTCAACCTCTGGGCTTACCTGAAAAGAGAGCTGGCCAAGCAGAAAAGGCCTTCCTCTTGAATGCTAGAGCTTTAAGTGTTGGTCCAGAAAGAATGGGAGAAGATCCATGCCGAGGTTTGCTCTAGCCTGATTGATAGCTCGCCTAGGAGGGTGCGGGCGGTGATCAAGGCCAAAGGTCGGTGGGCTAGGAAGTAGAAACACACTATTGAAGTTTGCCCTCCCTGCTTGGAACTATTTGTCCGGATGTACCATTTGTATATCTTCTGGGATATGAGTTAGATCTAATGTACTATTCTTGATATTTGTGCTATGAACACATCCACTATGTGCCCCTCCCAAATCGTACAACCATTAAACATTAAGGCTTAATGGATAGTGGTCTTAAAGCCTAAAACCCCAAATTTATGCAAAACATACGGACAATTGTTTCCGCCACTGTATGAACCAGTCACGCTAGAGTCATCAACATGCAGCGCATACAAAGCAGAGCTTATCTCATCCATGTCCATATCAAAGATCTGAACACGACGACGGAGCAGACTGTGCCAGTCGGGGAGGTCAGGCGACGGGCCGAAGCGGAGACGAAACAGGTCGTCTAGGCGACGAAAGCAACGAGCAAGGGTAGGACCGATCTTATCACACACGAGGTCGCGGCGAGGACCGGTCTGAAGCTGGTACTGGCAGCGCCCATCACTCGGACTACCACCCGACAACACACTGCGCGAGCGACCACTGCGACCACCGTCACCTCCAGCTCCAGGCCACCCGGGCGGGAGACGGCCGACCCTCCACTGCTGCTGCTGCTCTTGCGCCTGCTTCTGCTGTTGCGCCTGCAGATGCTGCTGCTGGTCCAGCTACGGAGCCTGCTGCTGTTGCTGGGGCGGCTGCTCCGGGGCACCAGCCCCAGCTCCCTCGTCACTACTACCAGCGGGCGAGCCACCTCCACCACCGGCACCACTCCCTCCTCCGCTACCTCCGCCGCGCCCAGCCTTGGGGCGGCGAACCTTACCCGAACGAAACTGCACTGCGGCGGCTGTCTCCACAGCCGGAGCTGACTGAGCAACCGCAGCAAAACCGTCGGAGTAAGAGCACTGAGCAGAGGCACAGCCCTGAAAGATAGAGACTGGCACGGTACCACTAGACTGGGCGATAGAACGCTGACGGGTCTCTATGGCAGACAAGGTGTCGACAAAGTCAGTGAGGATGAGGTCAGCGGGTGGAGACTGAGAAAGTGATCGCGGGCGGTGGCAAGGCGGTTAGGGAGACGGGTGGCAAGCAGGTAGAGGGTAGAGCAAATGGGGGGCTGAAACACACGAAGCTGAGCCTCAGTGCAGGCAGCGCACCAGGTTGTGTCTAGCGTGCGCAGGTGGGCGGCTAGGTCAGCGACAGTGGGGAAAGACTCAAGGTCAGGAAAGAGCATGGGCAGGATCAGGCGACCTACAGAGGTGGTGGGCGGGGTGGAATAGCGCGCAACAACAACCTCTAGGAGCTCCTGCGCAGTCCTGACCGACCTAAGCGGGGGCGCTCGGACAGGGGAAGGGCATGTCTAATCGCAAGCTGTGCGACAGCGTCACGCGACAACCAGATAGCACGGGCAAGGGCAGCAACTACAGCGGACTCACGGTCAGCAGAGGTGGGGTCAGCTGGGAGGGCAGTAGGAAGGTCCGGCAAGGGGAGTGTACCGTCGATGTGGACGGCCAGGGAGTGGCCGTCCTGCCGCTGACCAGTCAGGTGTCGCTGGAGGTCGACGAGCCACGAGTCGAACTCAATCGGCTGCCCCTCAGCATCAAAACGCAGGACCGAGTCCACCATCATGGTTGCAGCAGCAGGAGAAAGACAGTACTGGGCAGGAGAGCCCGGCGGAAAGCGGTGATGTGCGGTGCAGAGTGGTACTGTGCAGTGGAGGGAGGCGCAGTACGGCAAGGTGCAGTGCAGTGCGGTGCAAGGCGATGCAGTGCGGTGCAGAGCGATGCAGTGCGGTGCCGTGCGGTGTAGTGTGGTGCAGAGCGGTGCCAGGCGGTGCAGCGCAGTGCAGAGGAGCCGAGGACGGCGGCGAGGCGTCTAGAAGACGGGGCCGCGGACGGCAAGGCGACGGGGCCGGCAAAGAGGCGGGGCTGGCAGGGAGACGGGGCCGGCTAGGCGACGAGGCCGGCTAGGTGACGGGGCCGCAGGGCCGTGAGGTGACGGAGCCGCGGGGCCGCGAGGTGACGGGGCCGCGGGGCCGCTAGGGGACGGGGCCGCGGGGCCGCTAGGTGACGGGGCCGCAGGGCCGCTAGGGGACGGGGCCGCGGGGCCGCGGGGCTGCTAGGTGACGGGGCCGCGGGGCCGCGAGGTGACTAGGCCGCGGGGCTGCTAGGGGACAGGGCCGCGGGGCCGCTAGGAGACGGGGCCGCGGGGCCGCTAGGGGACGGGGCCGCGGAGCCGCTAGGTAACGGGGCCGCGAGGTCGTGAGGTGACGGGGCCGCGGGGCTGCTAGGGACGGGGCCACGGGGCCGCTAGGGGACGGGGCCGCGGAGCCGCTTGGGGACAGGGCCACAGGGCCGCTAGGGGAAAGGGCCGCGGGGCCGCGAGGTGACGAGCCGCGGGGCGACGAGGCAGCTAGGACCTTGGGCGGAAGCACTAGGGGGGGGGGAGGGGGGGGGGACCTACCTACTCATGTTACCATGTTTAAGTGAAAGAATGACTAGAACAAGGCATACAAGGGAATATAACCTAATTGTTTGTACTCCCTAAGGCACAACCCTATATAGTCTACAAAAACATAGAATATATGTTTGACAGTACATGGTAGTTCCTGGAAAATCAGAAGTACTAAAAATCGATTTCCAAGGCATCAGAATATCTATTTTTGGACGTCTAGAAAATCAGAAGAAACCGAATAAATCGCGTCTGAAAATACGACGAACAGACGGATTTTGTCTGCTAAGGAGGACCCTGATGACTACCCTGAAGGATCGGCAGCTGCGTTGGCATCTCCTGGTGAACCTTCCTCGGCCTTAGGAACAGAGGGATCAGGGGAGGGGTCCGAAGCACCCGCACCACCAGCGACAGCAGCAGCCGTAGAGGGGGGCGTGGGGGCGGCACGTGTGTGTGAACGGCAGTCATAGTCGAGCACCTCGTAGTCGGTGACTGACCGGGAGTGGCGCACAATGGCACGCCCCACCGAGTTAATCCAGTCCTCCTTCTCCTGCACGCATGGCCAACCACAAGGGGGGAAGCGGGGGGTGGGGGGCAGGGAAGGGGCCAGGGGATGAGAGGACGGAAGGAAGGGACGGCATGCCACGACGGAAGGATGCCAGAGAGCGCAGGGGAGGTGGGGATTAGAGAGGGAAGGACGGAGGGCGGCAGCAGGCAGATCCAGGAGGAAACTACACGGTGCCAGTAGAGGCAGGGGTGCCTGTGATGACGGGGGGGCGCCAGGGGTACATCACAGCTCAGCCGCATGTACCCACCACTGTCACTGGCTCACATGCATGTCAGGTGGATGGCAGCAGCACCGTCAGGGCTTCAGATGCCACCGGGCACGTGCCAGCAGCACTGTCACTGGCGGAGATGCCGGTCGCATGGCAGAACTGGTTGTAGCTGTCCATGATCCACCCCCCCGTGCCATCCTGCATGCCGTGCCTGCGCCCTGCCCCACTCCCTCCGCTCCAAACTCACCTGCGCACCCATGGGTCATCTCAATCGGCACATGGGCGCTCTTCCCAACAGCCTTCAACACATCAACTCTGTCCGCTTCTCTTCCCCTCTCTTCCCCTCTCTGCCCCTCTCCGCCCCTCTCTGCCCCTCTCTGCCCCTCTCTTCCCCTCCCTGCCCCTCTCTGCCCCTCTCTTCCCCTCTCTGCCCCTCTCTGCCCCTCTCTTCCCCTCTCTTCCCCTCTCTGCCCCTCTCTGCCCCTCTCCTTGTCGAGGTTGCAATGACAAAGCGCATGTCGCTGGACGAAGAAAGCGCCAACGCGACTTTGGCGGTGGCCGGCCCCAGCAGTCAGGGCGGCACATTGTCCAACTCTCCAAAGCGTTTCAGGCGGGTGCCTTGTCGGACCTCCACGCCTTGCCAGGCGGTTACCTCTCCAGCCATAACCTAGCAGACTGCAGTCCGAAGCCCCTCTCACCTGGTCAGATTCTTCTGCACCAATGAGGAATGTGCCATTGGACATGGAGAGCCCAAAGGCATGTTATGGCTGCTAAGCAGCCAGAGCAGTACCCTGTGGGAGCGCTTTGTGCCATTGTGTGCGAGAATGCCGAGCTGTATGGGCTTGACATGGCGCAGCACTCACCACCACAGACCTCAGTCACCTGACCTAACGACCTGCAAGGTTTGGACGTTGCCTGCCCCCAGCAGTCAGCGCGGCACCTTGTCGGAGTCAGCGATGAAGAAGAGTGTGTCGTTGGACGTGGAGAGCTCAAACGCGTGCGCGCGGTTGATGACGTCCTCCGCGCCCTTGATCGTCAGACACCGCCCCACGTTGATCACGCCGCGCGGCTGCGAGTCCTGTCAGGGGCCGTTGGAGAGGGCGGGCGAATGGGAGTGGGAGAGAGGGACGGAGGGAGGGGGGCGGGGGGGAGAGCGTGAGGAAAAGTGGGTGGGAGAGAGGGTGGGAGAGAGGGTGGGAGAGAGGGTGGGAGTGAGGATGGGAGAGAGGGTGGGAGAGAGGGAAGTTGATCGGATGAGAAGCGATAGTGGCGAGATGCAAGCCGATGCTGTGGCGTGCATTGCATTGAGTTGGACAACCAAGCATGCGATCAACAGACGCGTCAGCGATTCCCTCAGCAAGAGCAATGCGACATCACCCACCCAGCCAGTGCGTGCGAGGAGCAGGGTTGGGCACAGAGCATGCAGCGCATTGGAGCAGTGAGGCCGCACGCACCTTGGTGACCTTGTCGTCCTTGAACCAGAACATGTGGCCCTCCTTCAGCACGAACCACCGCCGCCGCCACGTCTTTATGTACTCGCCTGGGGGGGGGAAGAAGGGGACGAGGGGGACGGGGGGAAGGAGTTGGGCGGAGGCACGTGAGAAGGGGTTGTGAGGAGGGATGTGCGGGGCTGCGGCGGCAGTTGATGATGGTTGGCGAGGGCAGAGGGAGGGGGGTTCCCCACAAGGAGGGGCGTTGGGAGTTGAGGGAAGAATGACGGGGAAGGGGGGAAGGAGGCTGAGAAGGAGCACCAGAGAGTAGGGACGCGAGAGCGAGGAAGGACGATGGAAAGGGAGAAAGCGTAAATGGCGGTGGAAAAAACGAGTGTGCGAGAGAGGGGTGTAGGGAGGGAGGGTGAGAGGAAGGGAGACACATGCAGAGGCGGGAGGAGGAAGGGAGACACATGCAGAGGCGGGAGGAGGAAGGGAGACACATGCAGAGGCGGGAGGAGGAAGGGAGACACATGCAGAGGCGGGAGGAGGAAGGGAGACATATGCAGAGGCGGGAGGAGGAAGGGAGACACATGCAGAGGTGGGAGGAGGAAGGGAGACACATGCAGAGGCGGGAGGAGGAAGGGAGACACATGCAGAGGCGGGAGGAGGAAGGGAGACACATGCAGAGGCGGGAGGAGGAAGGGAGACACATGCAGAGGCGGGAGGAGGAAGGGAGACACATGCAGAGGCGGGAGGAGGAAGGGAGACACATGCAGAGGCGGGAGGAGGAAGGGAGACACATGCAGAGGCGGGAGGAGGAAGGGAGAGACATGCAGAGGCGGGGGGAGGAAGGGAGACACATGCAGAGGCGGGAGGAGGAAGGGAGACACATGCAGAGGCGGGAGGAGGAAGGGAGACACATGCAGAGGCGGGAGGAGGAAGGGAGACACATGCAGAGGCGGGAGGAGGAAGGGAGACACATGCAGAGGCGGGGGGAGGAAGGCGGGTAAACCGGGGAAGGAAAAGGGGAGGGGGAAGGGCGGAAGGGTGGTGGGAAATTGGAAAAGCAGGTGTTGGGGAGGAGGAGCGGGGGAGCGGCATACCTTGCTTGGTGAGCCATCCTGAGCGCTCGGGATCCTTCCAGAACTCGATGTGCTGCTCTCAGTGGATGGGGGCGGGAGATGCACACAACGACCATGCACCACGCACGCACACGCACGCACGAGCACGCACACGCACGCACAAGCACACACGAGCACACATCCCCGCAGCCGTTGGTGAACGTCCGGGAGAGAGCAAACGTGCAGCGATCTTAGGAATCGAGGGGCGATGAGCACGCACGCATGTGAGAGCACGCGGCAAGACATGGTTGAATATGCACGTGGTAGCCACCAGCGCGTGGTAACCACCAGCGTGGCCCAACATCGCGCTCGGCACGCGGCTTAGGAACCTGTCAGCCGTCACGCCCCTCGCCAACTGGGCCAGAAGTCAGGCATAGATTAAAGGCTTATTGCAGCGAGGATGCGACTCGAATCCGAGTGCTTCTAAAGCCAAGCAGCGCACCAAGCAGCGCACCAGGCGGCGCACCAGGCGGCGCACCTTAGATTCCTCTGGAATGTTCGGAAAGCCGAAGAGCGACGCGATGGCCATCGTTTCCCGCCAAAAGACCTCCGGCGAGGTAACCGATCTTCGGTAACCAGACGGAGACGTTTGAGTGGCCGGTCGGAACGAGTCTAACGGAAAAAAAGCTGCGAATGATCGACGAGTCTTTCTCTCGCCTTCTCCCTCTGGATATTCTGCTGACACGCGGCAAAACAATCCCAACCGTTGGCGCGTGACGAGGCTAACCGTTAGCGTCACTAGAATTAGGGCGTCAGCAGGACGCGCGGAAAGCCAGGAATCACGACGCCATTCTTGGCAAGCCTAGATTTGAGGCGCCTCAAAACGAGCAGGGAGCGTGGTGACGACGAGCGAGGAGAGCACACAGGGGAGCCGCGAAGACAAGAAGGTGGCGACGAAAACACAGCCACGCCACGACCCAAAAACGCTCTTGAAGACACTAGAGGAGCACAAGCTGTTCATGCACAGGCTGCTCAGAACTGTATCAATTTGCTCAGAACACTTTCAAAGCACGCGTTGTCACGAGCGGAGCGCTTCATATTGGAAACTTACAGTGTATTAGTTGCACTGTAAGGAAATTCCCATTTCCTTTACTGGGCTCGACTACAGCGCGTACGCCCTCGACTCTTGGAAGTCCAGGCTCGGCCAACTTCTTCGGTCCCAAACCATTTCGTGAACCCAAACCTAGACGCGCAGCGCTTCCGTGGCTTTCGCCAACCGAATCGCCCCAGCCTGTTCGCATGGTACTCGGCTAGCTCTGTTCGTGCCTATAAATGCCTAGGCCCTCATTTGTATCGACACTCTTGAATCTCGACTCCTTTATTACACTACCTGTTATTACTCTGATTAATTCATAACAGTTGGTATCCGTGCTCCGTTCCTGCCCGCTTAGTCTTCCATAGAGTGGTCCGATTATATCGGGAGGGGACCCGACAGAATAGAGGGTTGGCCAGCTCGATAAAGCTCCTCCAACTAAAAGCGTGTGCACCCTCAGATCTGTCGGGTAAAATTTCCAGCATGTCTGCCACGCCGGAAACCTCTGCCCGTCATACTGTTAGGAACGTGACTCACGAGGAGTTTGACGAGTTGCAAGCTAGGGCGGCTACAGTGACGACACTGCAGGCCCAGCTTCAACAACTCGCCGATAAGTTCGAGTTGCTGGGAAGCGAAGTACAAATGCTACGCAACGAAAACTCGTCGCTGCGCCAGACGCGGGGTGAAACGCGTTAGGGGCGGCCTGTTACCCGAGACGAAGATGATGCGAACGAAGCGAGGGCGTCGGCGACACCGGAAGCAGTTGAAGAAGTCCACAGCGAGCCGCGGGCGGCCATTAAAATCAAGCCTCCAATGGCCCCACCGTTCAACCCGACCGACAAGACAACAACTGTGAGCGTGTGGCTGTTCGCCAGGGAAATCTTCTTCACGGCAGCACGTATTAATGACAACGCATTACGTGTCAACTTGGCTGTGTCGCTGCTGAGGGGACCGGCACTCGACTGGTGGCGCATGCATTTAGACGAGGGAGGAACCCCGGCAGGGAATCAACGGGCGGTAGATGGGGAGATGAGTTCATCAACCGTGAAGGCAGAACCAATCTTTGGAACAAAGCTTCGGATGTGGAGACAGTTGGGCTCTGTCCAAGAATACACGGCGTCGTTTCTGGCAATCTGCGACCAAATCGGAGGGCTTAGCGAAGACGAGCGCATCGATCGCTACGTGGGTGGTCTCAAGCCGGAGATTCAACAGGAGATCGTCTTGCGAGCCCCGATGACCTTCAACGAAATTGTTCGCATAGCAGACGCGATGGACGCACGACGTGGACTCGCGAGAGCGGGTTTCCGGGAGGGAAATCGCTTTCGAGGCCAGCCCCAACACACATCAATCAACGGCGTGGACGTGTTTGCAGCCCGAGTATTTTCGGGGACCTGCTTCCACTGCAACCAGCCGGGTCACATGGTGAGGGACTGCCCGCAGCTGAAGAAGAACTTACCTAACGACAAGAAGCAGTCTAGAAATGGAGATCGTCAGTAGCAGATGGGCCACCTACTGACTTGACTGGGTCGCCCAAACGCCAACACCCCCACCAGGTTATAGTGCCGATTTGGGCTATCAACCATTCCTAGCTGAATAAGGGGGGGTGAACCGGTTGATCGCCCTGTGTTGGTTAAAGGGAGAGTTGGTGACACCCGCATAAAAATTTTCGTTGATGGCGGGGCGAGCCACAGTTTGATGGACGTGACGAAGGCGAAAAATTTGCAACTGCAGGTGGAGCGCTGCATGCTTGAAATCGACGCGAGATTGATCGACGGCACACCACTGGCGATTCGGGATCGGGTACCTCACGTGCGAGTAACATGCGGTGAAAATTTCAGTTTTACGACGAAGATGCTGGCGACAACTTTGGACGGCTGCGACATGCTGCTAGGACGCGATTGGCTGCGCGAATACAATCCGAGCATCGACTGGCGGACGGGCGATTGTCGCATCAAGTGGAGTGGCGAGTGGCGACGACTTCCCAAGTGGAGCTGTCAAGATTCAACCACATCGACGGTCAGCGCAGTGATGATCAAGCGAGCCATGATTCGAGGGGCGCAATTGTATGACGTCCGATGGATCGAATCAACGGTTGTCGACACGCCAACCGACATCGACAAACTCTGCGCAGCTGTCCCGAATGATTTGGCGAGGGTGATTCGAAAACACGCCGACTACCTACTCGAGAAAGGTTTCGTTCGCTGCAGCACGCCACCATTTGCAGCTCCGATACTGTTCACTCCGAAGAAACATGGCGGTCTACGAATGTGTATTGACTACCGCGCCTTAAACCGGGTTACCATCAAGTCCCGCTATCCTATCCCGCGTGCCGACGGACTCATCGACCAACTTCGCGGAGCAAAGTTCTTTTCGAAAATTGACCTGCGATGCGGTTACCACCAAATCAGCATGAACGAAGCTGACTGCTACAAGACGGCGTTTCAGACCCGGTACGGGAGTTAAGAGTAGACGGTTATGTCTTTTGGCTTAACAAACGCGCCTTTGACGTTCCAGTTGACCATGAACGAGGTTTTTCGGCCGCTGCTAGATAAATGCGCCATCGTGTACCTCGACGACATCCTGATCTACAGTACTACTCGGGAGCAACATTTGAGGGATTTGGAAGCAGTTTTCTCTCTCTTAGAACAGCATCGACTCATCACCAAGGGCTCTAAGTGCGAGTTTCTCTGACATGAACTGGAGTTTTTAGGCCACGTCATTTCCATCGACGGAGTTAAAATCGACCCCAAGAAGATTGCGACCATCCAAGACTGGAAGCCGCTGGCTAATCTCCGCGAACTTAAGAGTTTCCTGGGGTTTGTGAATTACGTTCATCGTTTCATTCCGAACATGGCGGGGGTAACTTCCCCTCTCACGGATCTTCTAAAGAAAGACACGTTTTACTGTATGAGTGGGGGGGAGAGCAGCAGGCTGCGTTCGAACAGCTTAAACTTTTCCTGGCTACACCTCCGGTTCTTCGGATTGCAGATCCTCACCGCCCGTTCGAGCTCATTACCGACGCTAACGATCTGGCTGTTGGTGCAGTACTGTTACAAGACTTCGGCGAATGTCTACAATCCATCGCTGCGAGTCACGAAAGCTGAACCCGGCCGCGCGAAATTATCATGTCCACGACAAGGGGTTACTCGCCATCGTTCACGCTTTCAAAGTCTGGCACTGCTACCTGACAGGCGCTGACGTGACAGTCCGAACATACCACAAATCGCTACAGTTCATCCGCGCCCAACCAACACTAAATCCCTGACAGATTCGCTGGCTCGATTACCTCATGTCCAACTTCCACTACAGAGTCACCTACAAACGGGGGGTTAGCAACATCGCCGACGCACGGACCCGCCCTTCAGTTCACACTGCCTCAGTCCTAATTACCCAAATAAATCCGCTGCTAACTGGCCTATTCATCCTCGGATACCGTACTGACCCATTCTTCACCACTAACAGTCATCCCTAACTGACGGTCAAGCAAGGGGCCTATCACCTAAAATCCGGTACCAATCGGATTTGGGTTCCCCCCTTCCGTACCTAACGCAAACTACTGATCTAAGAGGCACATGACTCGAACTTCTCGTGTCACTACGGCATCGACAAATCCGCCAAATTACTCAGCCGTGATTATTATTGGCCCGATTTGCCGACAGACGTGCAGCAGTACGTCAGTTCCTGCGCCATGTATCAACGTATGAAGTCTTCACGATTTCGATCCGCGGGATTGCTGCAGCCGCTCGAGCCACCCAGCCGACCCTGGCAACAGGTAACGATGGATTTCGTCACTGGCCTGCCAGCTGGTCCAAGTGGTAACGACGCGATTCTCGTCGTCATTGACCGGTTGACCAAGATGGCCCACTTCGCCGCCTGCAAGACAACGATTACTGCCGAGCAGACAGCAAAACTGCTCCTCACGAACATCGTTCGGCTACACGGCATCCCTTCGGCAATCATCAGCGATCGTGACCCACGGTTCACATCCAGCTTCTAGACAAAAATCTGGCAGCAGTACGGCACACGTCTACATCTGTCCACAGCGTACCATCCGCAATCGGACGGTCAGACTGAGCGCACCAATCAGACGATGGAGCAGCTAATTCGCACGACATGCACAGACCCGGCCCAATGGGAAGACTCCCTTCCCTTGATCGAGTTTGCGTACAACAATGCCCTATCGGCCACGACTACTCAGTCCCCATTCTTCCTCAATTACATGATAGATCCGACAACACCGCTATCGTCACCAATAGAAAACCCGGCACCAAGATCTCATCAGTTCGTCGAAAATATTTGACAGTCTCAGCAAAATGCAGCTGACACCATCCTCAAAGCCAACCAGAGGGATAAGCAGCAAGCTGACCGACGACGCCGAGACCTTACTCTTGCCCCTGGGCAATTGGTCCTGCTCGATACCAGAAATTTGGGAATTCCCCTCCCACATGAATTACGACCAAGATTTTGCGGCCCATTCCGCATCATCTGCATGGTGACACCAGTCACCGCCCAGCTGCAACTACCGGCCGACGGGCAAATTCATGATTTATTCCACGTCAGCCTCCTGCGATCGTTCCCGAGTACGACTAATCTTGACCGTCAACACATCAATCCAACGGTCAGCCCAGTACCTGAGCCAACGATCGAGCCATCCAAGATTCTCGCTCATCGCGTACGAGGCCATCGCGATACAGCAGCAATTGATTTCCTTGTACGATGGGTCGATCGCATGACTGACGACGATCTTTGGGTCCCCGCAGCTATGCTCGGCGAACACAAAGCCGCCCGGTACTATTTGCACCGACGACGTGTCCCGGATGTGTGTAGTCTCATCCCAGAAGGGGGGGTGGTGCAAGGAAATTCCCTTTTCCTTACCGGGCTCGACTACAGCACGTACGCCCTCGACTCTCGGAAGTCCAGGCTCGGCCAACTTCTTTGGTCCCAACCATTTCGCGAACCCAAACCTAGACGTGCAGCGCTTCCGTGGCTTTCGCCAACTAAATCGTCCCAACCTGTTCGCGTGGTACTCGGCTAGCTCTGTTCGCACCTATAAATGCATAGGCCCTGATTTGTATCGACACTCTTGAATCACGACTCCTTTATTACACTACCTGTTATTACTCTGATTAATTCATAAAATGCACCTTGAGATGGTTTTTTTTTTTTTTTGGTTGCGGAGCAACCTATTACGATCGATTTTGGCGAAAAAAAAAAATCCCACATATTTTGGGGAAAAAGAGACGTAACCAGGGAAATCGATGAAATGGCTCAATAATTTCCTATTGCAACTCGCACCGCACAGTACCACATGTTTCTGATCCAACTTGTTTCTGATCCCGGTTTGTGAACTCCATCTAATTCCAGTCAATCGTGAATTTTGTGTTCGATTGTATCACGTCATTAACAACGAATCCAATCGATTTATGCGCTGGAATTTACAAGTCACGGTCGATGATGATGAATCTATAATAAATGGATGATATTATGCGACACTGTAGAAAAACTCAAACTCTTGGCTACCGCTTCCCCAGCACTAGCATGGGGGGGAAGTTAGTAGGTATGATGTTTGAATCATCAACAGTGTCATGAAACAACACAATCTGTAAGGTCCAAAAAAGAAGCCAGCCCATCAAATCAAGTTCAAAAGACTGCACTCAAGGAGCGCGTCTGTGAACCGTTGCAATTTGATGGGTAAGGTTTCTCCATTTGAAAAACACAGACTTGCATTGATTTGGGATGATGGATGCATAAAATAATAGAGGCAAATGAGCAAATTTCTCAAAATCTGGCAACAAATATAGAATACCACAAAACCCCGCCAGTATTAGCTCACTAAACAGTCACATTTGCTCCCAAGTCTCCATTCAAGTCGCAAACATTTTTCAGTTACATTTGCCTCATGGTCGATCAATCTGCATTCATGTTTCCACCCCATACTACTGTTTACACCCTCCTTGCCACAACTGTTCTGCCACCTCCGTCTCACTATCATTAGACATGCAAAGCAAAACAAACATAAGTTAGTCAAGGAATGGGATTGTAGTGACAAAACTATGCTTCTCTTAAATACTTACAACATGCTTCCTTTTAGCAGGTGTGGATGGGGCTGCAGAAGATGTACTCATGCTGGTAGCTGGATCGGTTGTCTCTGGCATCTTAGTGATGTCAAGGACGGTTTTGAAGATGCGGTTTACGTCGAAATGGAAGTGTACCTAAAATAGTCATGAAACAAGTTGATGAGATAGGAAATTAAAGCCCATACGTATTTTATATTGCAGACACGCACCTTAGCTTTCCATTCACCGTGCAGTGCATCCAATGCTTTTTTACGCTCCTCCTCATTGAGTGCGAAGAAGGTAGTAATATGGAAGTCTGGGATTACGTTTGCTAGAACTTTTGGCTCCAGTTCGATGTTCTTGGACAGGTGCTTGTACGAGCCTGACAAAAAAGAACAAATAAGAAAAGAGAGAAGAATTGATCACTAAACATTCATTAGGCATATGGTATGGGCCAAATCACATGCAAGTTTTAACTTACTGCTCTCTTCCACAATGAGAGTTGCCGTGATGTTATCAATCGACAAGATTGATGTGGATCCGTGAGAAGAGCACATGTGCGCATTGTTGATGACAGAGGTAAACACAGGCATGCCACACAAAGCATTCCCATTACGTGCATTGCAAACAGGTCGACAGTTGTGTTGTGACTCGTTTAAAACCACTTTGAAGGTTGCAACTTTATCCGTCTTCGTTGTTGTCACAAGGGTCTCGATATGCGTCATTCTGCCAATGGAACAAAACCAGAATTAGATTGCAAGATCTGAATGTTGCACCTTTATACGACAGCATTGTACTTACAGTTCGACTTCTCCGAGATCTTGCACTTCATCCAGTGGAGCTGCATCCGTAATTGATGATGCTTGGCTGGAATCAAGGATGAGAACGCCTGATCGTGTTGTCGTCATGAATACACCAGACTTGAGGTAGACATCACTCAAGAAGAGAGGAACATAGGAGCTAGTGGGATGTGCGGATAAGTACTTGTCAAAGCATGTCTTAATCTCCACCCCTGCGTTGCCAAGGGAAGTTAGTGTACTCTTTTGTGATGAGTCGTAGATGAGAGCTACCAGCTTGCGTGCTCCATTCTTTGGATCGAGGGTTGCATCTTTCAAGTTAACTGCAATGCAAGGGATCTGGTGAAAACGTCGAGAGGACAATCATAAAAAAATAACATGTATGACGGACAAGCATTGCCGAACATGTACGGCAACATTACCAAAGTTAATATATGTATGAAGAAAATTAAAAAAAAAAAAAAAAAAAAAAAAAAAAAAAAAAACAACGCAAGGAGCGACTTAACAAACAAAGAAACCAAAGGAGTTTGAAGCATGGAAGAACGATGACCAGTGTATGGAAACAAGCAACAACTTCCATGATACTAACATGATACGTTTCAAGCACTTGCAAGAAACCATAGTAGCATAGGCAAAGGCGGTGATAAAAGCATGATCAATGTAGAGAAACCTATTACGATTGATTTTGTCGAAATTTTGGCGAAACTTACACGTTGATGGTCCTCCAGACAGTCGTAGAAGTTCTTGAGCAATGGAGTAGGAACATTGCCCACAACCAGCTTGTCGCACGCTGCTGCCTCCACCATGTATGAGCATCGATGAATCCAGTTGAACTGCATCTGAAGCCCTCCAATGTGTTTCCTGAATATTCACAAGGAATTACACGATTATGACATCAAGATGAGCATAACTCAAACAACGTACCAGTCAGCTATCCCTCGTGAAGCATCGAAACGGTGCACCTGATAAATCTTTCCAATAGAAAGATTCAGCAAGAAGTCATTGATAGCTGCCGCATCACACCGACCAGGCCCCGAAGACTCCGCCCAAAGAAGAAGCTCTGCTGTGTTGAACTCGACATCGAACATGAGAACTTTTCCCGGGGATGGTTGACTGTTTTTCTTCATGAATGCATTTCTTATGCTGATGACCATCATTTTCAGATGCATATCAAAGCACTTCTGTTCTGTCTTCACCCTTTGTTCAATGGATTTGAACTTAACCTCAATAGTAGCTTGTGGTGACAAACAACTCTTTATTAGTACGATATGAGAGATCTTACATTAATGACAGTCTTCAGTACTTGTAAAACTCACCCGTCCAAGGTTGTGCGGAAACGGCAAAGGGCATGTTCATTAGTGTACATGACAAGAAACACAAGGAGGGGTACGCAATCTCATATGATAAAATACGAATATCATGAACATGAAAAGCAATTATTGACCAACATTTTCAATATTTTTTTAGGATATCATTCATTGATGATGACATAGATAGGAAAGTGATCTGAGAAATAGGTTTCACCCACATAGATTTTAATTTGAGTTTTACAACAGTTTGCCCAAACATGATCTAGAAGAGTATTATTTACAGTAGTGGGTTCAATAACATACTGGGTAAAACCTCGAAGTGTAAATACCCTTTTATATCGACGTTGAGATGTACCATAGAGATCAATATTGAAATCTCCGACAAATATCATGCTCGTGCCAATATTATGGTCTATGCTGGATGAGATCATATCAACAAGAATGTCGTAGTTATGTTGGTTAGTAGGGTTTCGATAACAACAATTAATCATGAAGCTTTTGCCTTTGATTTCAAGTGAAAAGGACAAAAACTCGACTTTTGATAATTCACTATATTCTATTATTTTGATTGGTTTGCGATAATAAACCACAATTCCTCCAGTTTTACAATCGAAACGTAGTATTTTGAATGAATCTTGTGGAAGATTAGGAAGCACATCATTAGACGACAAATGTGTTTCGAAGAAAACCAAAAAATCAAACTTGTCTAACTGCGATAACTTAATATCATCGTAATGGCCTCGTAGACTTCTCACATTTTGGAAAAGGAATTTCATGTCAGAATTATGTGTCGAAATATCAGTAATTGGCATTGGAACAAGAGCGAGAGGCCTTTGTCGCAAACGACTCATTTAGTCAACGACACGAGAATCGGTCTTAATGCATGCGTTTGAAAAGTTTTTAAGAAAAAGAGGGTGGGGACTGCGAAAACGACTTAAAGCGACATATGCACCTTGAGCAAATACCTTTTTCTCAAAGTGTATCACCCCACTCTCAAACGTAGCACCTTGGCTACGATGAAAAGTAATTGCATTGCTTGGTCGTAGTGGAAATTGCATTCGAGAAATAGTATCGTATCGTGAATTAACAGAAAACGTTCTTTCAGTTCGTTGTAGAGGGGTCCAATTGATATTCACCTGCGAAAATTTTGAAGCCAATGACTTGGACTTCAAACGCAAATTGTGTCCGACGTATTCGTCATCAAACTGGACCCAAATAATTTCTACAACGCTATTATTGCTTAGAGTGAAATGTGTTACAATCCCAGGTGTGCCATTGGCAAGACCATCTGACGTATCAAGATTGCAAACTACATGAACGCGAGAACCTATGAACAACTCGAGCTTGGGTAACAACCCATGTGATGCACTAGGTGAAAAAGTTGGTGGTGTAATTGGTTTGTCCTTTCTAGATTGATCTTTTCCAAAAAGGGCACAATCTAATGCCAAAATTGTGTATTTCTCTTGCAAAGAAAAAAGAAACACATTGTGGTTGTATGAATCAATTGCTTTATTTGTGCAACACAGGTGTTGCAGATTCGTTTTCGTTGCTGGAATATCAGTTTCCCGTCTACTCAAGAATTCTATGTCGCTGAGTGTTTGCTTGCCTTCACGCAAACGATTCAGTAATTCTGCAAACTTGACTTCCTCACGTTGTCTCATGATTGTGATGAGCTCCACAATTCTCACGCGCCTCCAGATATCTAGATCATTTGATGGTAAAGAAATCGATCTCTGAAACAATGACTGTCACGTACCGGAGGTAATTGGAAAAAATCCCCAACAAAAATCATATGCAAACCACCGAAAGCGAGATTTGCATTGTTTGTTATCTCACGAAGTCTAAAATCCATCCATTCAAAGGTATTTCTACCAACCATTGATATTTCATCGACAATTACAACTTTAACGTTTCCCAGACGAGACCTTAAAGTGTTAAGCTTGTCTGAGGACAACTTTTTTATTCGACGATTCTGCACCACCGGAATCATTAAAGCACTATGTATTGTATAGCCCCTTATTTGAAAGGCGGCCACTCCAGAGGGAGCAACGTTTAAAACTTTAATAGTATCAAAGTTCATGCCGAGTTGAGCATGAAAAATGCTCGATCGTGTACACTTTTGATTAAGACTGATTTGCCAACGCCAGCCCCACCACTTATCAACATGCATAGTGGACCATACTCAAACGACCTACGAACACCGCGTACGATGTGATCTGCAATTGCAATTTGT